ATATATACACACACACACACACACACACACACACACACATATACATACATATATATATATATATATATATATATATATATATAAGTTGCCAAGCGCCCAAATTTGGATCATGTGACATGGGCATGCTGTGATGGTGGTAACTGTGAGGACTGGTTATAAGTGGAGTACCTGAAAGGCATTAAATACAACAAAGCAACTTGGCTATTTGACTATGTCCTTATTTAAGGACCAGAGTTTCTTGTTTCAAATGACAAACGAAAACCATTGCATTCATTTATCCCAAACCTCCTTTATTCAGGTGCTTTCTGCCGGATGCATGGAAGCAAAGACTTACTGGCACATCTTTCTTGAAGCTGACTCGGCCCACAGGCGCAATGGCTGTCTTTGCGACAGTGCTGGTGGTGGTGGCAGTGGTGACTACAGTGCTAACCTGGCCAGCGAGAGGTGTCTTTGCTGGAGCCTGGGCCTGGGCCTGGGCTTGGGCCAGGGCAATACTTCCAGGGGTGGTGATGGACCCCTGCATCTTCACAGGAGGATCTCTCGACTGCTGTCCATATTCAATGTACTTCGACAGACAAGGAAAGGTTGTTAAAATTCACATACAACAAACCTTAATCCTAGAAGCCATTGCAGAAATATCTAATCTGTTTTTAATATTTAATAATTATACATACATACTTTCTAATCTCTAATATTGATATGTGACTATAAATAAAATAGTTATTTTTTTCATGCATGGCATCTATAGAGATCATGCAATCACTGATATACAAATTTGGTTGAAATAAAGTGTTAGCATATACATACACACACATACACACACACACACACACACACATTCTCTCTCTGAAAAAAAACTAAAAGGTTTCTATAATGAGTAAAAAAAGCCAATTTCAATTTTGGACAAATGATGAGTACAGGAATTTTTAAGTAATAGCATAATCTTTATAATTAACAATATGTTTGTAGTCCCATGTAAAAGTGCAATATGTCTACTTTGTACAGAAACTCTTCCAACTGGCATAAGATTAATGCAGAGATCCGAAACCTCCTAGGCCTGTAGAATACAAGACCTTCAAAAGCTTAGCTCCCCTGTTCTTCTTCTGGCTACTTTCAGGACCCAGGTATAAGCAACAGGCATTTGCTCCACCCCTTTTCATAACCTTTTATAAAACATCTGGCAAAAATTAGAAGGAATTCAAGTTAGCTGTTCTGTAACTGTGATACACTGAGAGTTAAAGCTAAGGGCAATTTTCCATGCAGGAACTTGTTTTTCTTCCCTTACATGATGAAAGCTTGTTGCAAAGAATTTTTACAAATCCTTACATGCCTTTTTGTAAGTGATTCTGAACACCAGCTTAATTTGTTTCATGCTACTTTACTACCTTTGCTGATTTACTTTCCATAAATTTAATACAAACCTCCTGCAGGTGATGCGGGAACTGTATAAAGTGACTAATAGACGCCAGATGTTGACAATACTGAGGGTAGTCCTTCAATCTGTCAACAAAATTAGCTATTAGTAGTAGGAAATAAACAGTCTGATCCATAACTTATTAGCATAATATAAAAATAGTTAATCTTTGCAAAACAGCCATGCCATTGCCTCATGGATGTTTTGCTTCTGATCAGCAAACAAAAATAACCCCAGAGAGGGAAGATCAAGGAGTGAAGTGACAAAAGCAGTATTGTGGCATTGCAACACAAGGCTTCTGCCTTCGGTTATATGCACCCTGATGTCATATAGGTAAATTGACGTGATGGTGCAATGGTTCAACACTGCTTTTTCAATTTCATTGTACACGTTGTACATTGACAATAAATATTTGATTGACTGATTGATGGTGTCGGCAGTAGCGGCAGCGTGAGGGGCAGTGCCAGGTGACAAGCCCTCAAATCCCTGCAGGTCCAGCTGGTGAGATGGAAAGCCTAACGCCCGAGACTTGCCAGCAAGCCAGAAAAGAGCTCCATTCCTCAGTAAACGCTCAATTCAAAAGTATCGGGGATTTCTGATTCTTCCCATCATTGACCAGCATGCCAGAAAAGAGCTCATCCCTCGGTAAAGCCCTTTATTCAAAAGCGCTCGATGATCTGCAACTCGACCCATCCTTACTAGAAGGTAAGGCAGTGAGACGGTGAGATTCATCCCATCCTTGCAGGGCGGGGAGCACCGGGAGCTGTGAGTCGGTCTTCAGACATTTGCAGCCAGGGTGTGAAGCAGACTGCTTCCCCTCCCCCGCTGCCCCTCCTTCCCTCTTCCCTCTTCACCAAATTGCTAATCCAGACTCCCTCTTTAAAAGGACAGTAACTTAGTTTGTTATAACTGAACTCCTGTGAAGATTGGAAGCAATTCTATTTCCTGTGATAGAAGCAGAAGTATATTGAAGCCAGGAGCGAATGCTCAGTACAAATCTGAGTCTACATAGCAAAAATATAAACTGTTTGAATTGCCAGTGCAAGACTATCTACGTGCCTCTTTCTCTTAAAGCAACAAACTTTGAAAGTGTATTTAATTAACTAGGAGGGACTCAGAAATCCCATTCATCAAGGGAAAACAAAAAAAAAAAGTTTCCTGTTGCCTCCCTGTGAATTGTTCTGTTTATCTCTGCTGAAGAAGGGGCCAGAGATCCCACCCTTCAGCATCTTTACTATCTCAAAAACTCAATCCACAAAACAAGACAGAGAGTGTAAACCCTTGCTCACTGGTTGCTTTCAAGAGGAAAGAGTGTTTGACACAAAGAAACTGCTGTTTCTCCAGCCCAGGAAAAGAGGCCTCCTGCCAGTTTATTAGGGGTTATAAATCTATTCTCAGATATCAGCAACAGCTAAGCAAAGCAAACTTACTGACTCTCAATAAAACTTCATTGCTTTCAGTATCTCAAAACTTATAACTTTCTACCTCAAGACTTATATCAAAGATTAGATAATGATATCTCCAAATCAATTTCTTTAAAATAATTATTTTTTATCAAATGATTAATTGATTTATTGTTTTTATTGATTATTATGATTGAGTGTTTAGTGCATATAGTGTAATTACTGAATATCTGATTAGTAAAATCAGTGATTTAGTGAATTTAATTAACCAGTGTGTTTAGTAATTACTGTAATAAATTAGGCTGTTTGTTGCTTAGCAAAATTATTTTGATTAGAGTGATTTGAATAACCAATTGATTGATTCATTGATTTTTAGTAATAAGTAACCTTACTTTTCATTTGTTCTCTAACATATCAATTCACATTTATTAATTACCAACATTCATTAAGTAACTGTCTACCTATCTCATTAACTAGCTATTGTAATTGTTTAGTGTACTATTGCCATTGACCATGCCAGCCAAAAACTCCAAACTAAAACAAAAGAAAAATATATCTACCAATGACCTCCCAGATTCCTGCACATGTTTCAGATGTCTTGAAACCATCAATGAAAGCGAAATTTACATCAAATGAGACAATCTAGCCCACCCTGCCTGCTTAAACGCAAACAAAAGCCTACCTGATATGGTTAATAATTCAGATACATTCTTTTATCTACATCCATCATGTTCTCCTAACATAAAAAACATGAATACCCTACCTGACAGCATTGAAAGCACAGAATCACTCATTCACTCAATAGAAAAACGCTTAGCAACACTTTTTGAAACAACTATACAAGCAAGCCTAATCTCTCTTGAAAAAAAAATACAGCACAGATAAGTGAGTACCTATCAGCTCTAAATCAAATCCCACAACAACCGCTACTTCAAGTACAATCACAACTACAACCAAAAATAACCACCAAACCACAGCCACAATTACTATCCCTTCAAATAATTCCACAAATAATATCTCCTTACTCATCAGAGACACCATGGAACATGAACAGAAACATCCAAACGCCATCTTATTTGGTCTCGAAGACACCAACAAATCAGATGACATCACCAAAGTTCGCAATATCATAAGCAACTTAAATACAACAAACATCTCTCCTGAAGATATCATTGAAATAACCAGAGATGGCCCTGGGTACAAATACAATGATGGCTCTATGGCCCCAAGATTTTGTAGAGTTGTATGCAAAACTGAGTCCAGCAAACGCACATTCATTCATACAATAAACGCCATTGCAAAAACCAATCCCAACCACAAAAAACTTCGCTCAAGACCACACTTATCCATACTGCAAAGAATTTGCTCCCGTGAACTCTGGAAAGAACTCAAAAACTGTGTAGACAATGGAGAAAAGGACCTATACATTGACTACCAAGCTAATTGCATCAAAAGAAAGTCACAGAACCCACAACTCTGCATCCAACCCCACTTCATCCAATCCAACATCACTCAAAACTAGGCAACTAACTACCTCTATTCCAACCACAACTGGCCTTAAATGCAAGCTACTCAATGCAAGAAGCCTTGTAAATAAAATACCTAAATTTCTCCTCTTACTAAATATGGCTAAATTTGACATTATATTTGTTTGTGAAACATGGCTGAACGTATCTCTCCCTGACTCCATTACCACAGTAAGAGACTATCATGTTTACCGATCAGATCGTGAAATCTGTAGATGAGGTGGTGTTGCTATCTTCTATAAAAAAGTCCCTACATCTAAAAAACATCCAAGTTACCTAGGAGCTTGCTATTCCTGAGACGATCGTCTGTGAACTGTCCTTAAATATCACATTTTGGTTCTTACTGTTACAGAGCCCCTGATTATGACATCGGACATTCAAACAAGCTAAATATACTACTAACATGGGCTGCATCCTGCCCACACGCTTTTATTTTTCTTGGTGACTTCAATCTACCTCACATTAACTGGACCCTTAACAAATGTACAACTGAACCCACACATGCAACCTGCTACAATGCAGTAACAAATCTGGGACCAGAACAACTAGTAACCAACAACACTAGATTTAACAACTGCCTCGATCTCATCTTCTGCAATAGTTTGAATTCAATTTACAGAATCCAAATTAAAGAACCCTTTTCCAACAGTGACCACAACATGATAGACTTTTGTCTCAACATACGTCCACACAAAAATCATCACGACGGAATCCCCAATTATAACTTCAAAAAAGGCAACTATGATCTTATAAACAACGATCTCTCATCCCTTGATTGGCAATTTCTATTCTCTAGATGCAATACTGTAGAAGACCATTACAACGTATTTTTACTTGAAGTCAAGAGTCATCAAACTATATGTACCATTAACAACTCCCAAAACCAGAAAAAACAAATTACCCATAACAACAAGGAAGCTTCAATCCAAAAAAAAAAAAAATCACTTTGGCAGAAAAACAAATCTGGTCACATTGCCAACTTCAAAAGCTGACACAAAAATTTATGCCACCAGATAAAAACTGAATGCACCAATTATCACATTAAACAAGAAGAAAACCTTCTACACACCAATTTCACCCGTGCTTTCTACAATTTTGTAAACAACAAAATAAAAGACTCAAGGTCCATCCCACCCCTGATAGGACCTAATGGTAAAGACTGCAACGATGACACCATTAAAGCCAACATCTTTAACACATTCTTTGGCTCAGTATTTGTAAACAGCAACGGATCATGCCCAGTATTTCCTAGTTGAACCACAGACAACTACTACAATGATCTAATACACCTCTATTTTACAGAAGACAAAGTTGAAAAAGCACTATGCAATCTAAAACCATCTCTATTTATTGGACCGGATGGAATATGTGCCTACTTCTTAAAAAAGCTATCCACTGCCATAACCGAACCTCTAAGCATAATCTTTGAAAAATGTTTCTGGACCAGCTCCTTGCCAAACCTATGGTCACAAGCCATGGTCATCCCCATCTTCAAAAAAGGAGACCCCAGCCTAGTTGAAAATTACAGACCAATCTCTTTATGCTGCATCACCTGTAAAATCATGGAATCAATTATTAACCAATCCATCATCCTCCACTTAGAAACAAACAACCTACTCTCTAATAAACAATTTGGTTTCAGGAAAAAACTATCCTGTAATCTGCAACTCTTACACTGCAAAAACATATGGACTACACTAGATCAGGGTAAAGCAATAGACGCAATCTACATAGAATTTTGTAAAGCCTTTGATTCAGTGGTACACGACAAACTACTCCTAAAACTAAAATCTTACGGTATCTCTGTATAACTGCATAACTAGGTAGAAGCATTCCTGTCAAACAGACAACGAATGGTCAAAATTGGGAGTGTCCTATCAAATTCTGTACCTGTCAACAGTGGTGTCTCCCAAGGCAGTGTTCTAGGACCAACTCTTTTCATACTCCACATAAATGACCTCTGTGATCATATTGAGAGCAATTGCGTTCTCTTCGCTGATGATGTAAAGCCATTCAACACAACAGACAATATTGCTACCCTTCAAAAAGATCTTGACTATGTATCAGAATGGTCAAGCAAATGGCAATATCAAATCTCAACAAATAAATGCTCATATAGGAAAAAAATACATATAGGAAAAAAAAATCAGAAGATAAAATACAGGCTGAATAGTCAAGACCTTGTTGATGATCCAAACTCTGTCAAGGATCTTGCAGTATTCATCTCTAATGACCTAAGTGCTAGAGCCCACTGTAACTACATAGCCAAAAAGGCATTAAGATTTCTTAACCTAATCTTACGTAGCTTTTTCTCTGGTAATATTACACTAATAACTAGAGCATACAAAACATTTGCTAGACCAATTCTCGAACATATCTCATCAGTCTGGAACCCACATTACAGATCTGATATTAACAAAGTTGAGAAAGTCCAGAAATATTTCACAAGAAGAGTTCTCCACTCCTCTACTCATTGCAGAATACCTTATGCCACCAGACTCGACATTCTAGACCTAGAAAACCTAGAACTACGCCGCCTTTGGTCCGATCTAAATATAGTATATAAAATCATACATTGCAATGTTCTACCTGTCAATGAATACTTCGGCTTCAACCATAACAACTCAAGAGCAAACAGCATAAGCGCACCAATGTGCCTACCCTCCCTGTCATATTGTTTCTTTTATTTTTTTCTTTTTCTTTTATGTATCCATGTATTCATAACTATGTTTTTACTTATACCTATTATCTTGTAAGCAATTGACAAAAATAAATAAATATTTTTTTTTGATGAAAGCATCAGATCCTGAAGACACCTTTGCCAACAATTATTTTAAAAAGTCTGAACTAATAGTTGTGACTACATGTTGCTAAGAAATAGCCTACTGCAAACAAGCCAATTTATCAGGAAAAGGTCTACTATTGTAGCAAGGAAAATACAGCCACAGTAAGAGGTTGTCATATGTGACAGGAGTCTTCAGCAAAACCACCTCTGCAGAAATCAATTCCCCAAGAACTAGAATGCTTCTTTTCACTTCAATATAACCAACACTAAAATAATCTGTTTTGCTGTGAAATCCCAAGCCATACTGACCTTATAGATAGATAACTTCTATTGTAATTTTTTTTTTACTGTGAGCACACTGGCCCACATTAAAAATGAAATTCTAAGTATTTTTTAAGTCTTTCTGCCAAAATTGAAGCAAAGATTTTATAGTCTGCATTTAGTAAGAAATAGGTCTATAATGCTTAATTTGCAATGGATCAGCCTCTTCTTTTGGAATAAGTGTAATATAAGCTTCTGACCATGTTTTAGATATCATCTTCTTTAACATAGCTTCATTCATGACCTCTAGCAGTGGAATGCTCAATGATTCTTGTAGTGTTTTATAAAATTCTGCCGGAAGCCCATCTGGACCTGGTACTTTCCCATTATTTTGCTTCTTAAGTGCTTCAGTTAATTCCATCATTGTTATATTACTTTCTAACATTTTT